GTAGCATACTTCCGAGAACGAGCTGTCGCTTTCCAGGATTGCGAGGAGCGCCAGCGACCACTGATTCTGCTGAAGGATATTCTGGAGGTTTTGCTACAGGTGAGTGCTGCACTGAGGCATTTTCACCAGACTCTTGGTGATGTCGCTCATGGAGCAGTGACGACGGAGAACGTGCAGCTCACATCCAGAGATTTAAGGAGGTGAGTCAAGAAATCTGGGTTATTTGAAACGGCGTAGGTCAGGAGGTACCGGTTGCTACAGTGCGATGGCGTACTGAGTTCGCGGGTACTGTCCACGACAGTCAGGCAGAACTGAGTATTCATGTCAACGCAGCCCACATGGCGTTAGTTTCTCGCTTTGACATCGTTCGCGTCCTTACCGGGCAATCCCTCCCGCGCCAGCCCAACCCATTAGGATCTCTTGACCACTCCCACTCAATCTGCGAGAAGCCTAAGGAAAAAACTACTCCGATTCTTGAGCGCTGAAGTGCTGAGACTTAAGCTGCAAGTGTCCTCAAACAGACATGGGTTCATCATAACTGAATCAGAACGTGAGCGTACTCCTTGAGCGCAGGTTAGTAGTATGTAGTATTTAATGTGATAGTATTAGGAGCTTATGGTCCCAGTTCTTACAAATCAGCACCACCTTTGGGGGAGAGAGCTATTTCTCGTTGAATACCCACTTGTGCAAATCACGACAATATCAAATTTACGCAACCAATTCCGTTATGCCCATTGCCGTGCATCACATAGCGTGCGGTGGCTGGAATCATTGCGGGACGTCCAAAAGAGCCTGTCCGTCCACACAATAGCTTTTGCGTTGGACGTACTGTAGTTATGAGGCAGCTGCCCTTATCCAGCGCTTGCTCCCATATCCAGGCCAACCGCGTGGGTCTCATGGTGCCAAGCGACCAATAACGCGCTAATGCATTGGAAGTTTTGATCTTGATATAGAGATGAGGAAGGCCAGAACATTTCTGGCGCGATGATACGACATCTGCAAGGCGCTAATATATAAAACTACGTGAAAATGCAACCAAAGCTGATCCGTCGGTTCAATCGTCGCTAATCGGAAGTGGTGCCATACTTGACCAGAAAACGAGACATGGGTGTTTGAGTACCGCCTGAGGTAAAGAGTTTCACCAAGGACTCAACTTCTAGTGATTACTTAATCAATGACCCTAAAGCAGTCAACCGTCTGTTCGCATTATTCGAAACGAGGGCTTCACATTGCGAGTCTGAGTAAGGTCAACAATTTCTGAGAAGAGTTTGAACTGGAAGTCGTAAAAAGGGAATTGCATTTAAAGCAACAGTCCCAGCAGGGTGGGCGTGGTCGGAAACGGCTGCAATCCCCTCGGCCGATTCCCACTTCGGAGCTGTTCAGCCCCTAGTCAAGAACGTAGGAAGTGTGACTGAACAAAAACTCACCTTGGAAAGCCGCTAGGGAGGGAGCTGTGGGCGTGGTCGGAATCGGCCGAGGGGATTGCAGTCGTTTCCGACCACGCCCACCCTGCTGGATTTTGTTTAACAAATTGATTTGCGCGCTCGCCTTCATGAGTACCAGTTAAGCCTCATTGGTCACCGCTGCGACGGCTATCTGGGAGTACAAGGTGGGCGGGGTTGTTTTGTCGTCAAATGGTCTCAGATCATATTGTAGAACCCAGCCATGTGTTGATGTGAACGATGGTGATCGCGTGTACGGAGGAGGGCGCCGTATAAGAGAGCCTCCTAAGACTGAAGAAGATGGTGGGGGTCTCATCAAGACCCCCTAAAGGGAGTTGGGTCGCAAAACTTGGAAAAGTGTGAACGCGACGGTTGACCCTGCCCCATAGCTCGATATAAAAATTGTTTCAGTACAAATTTTCCTCGACAAATATCTCGAGCTGTTAAGGTGTTCGATAAAACTCCCAGCAGAGAATGTACTTATCCCCCGTCGGCTATCGCGTCTTTACCCCAGAATCGTTTGTTCCACAGAGAGCGCAATCCGAAGCGAAGGCAGGAATGTGACATATGGTAAGTAAGGTGATCACTTGGGCTACTTTGCGAGTACTGTATGATTGTCATTGTACAGGATGTTTGGCGTACTTTGCTGGGAAAGTATGACATTGGGAGCAGAACCGCACTATCAAAAGACACCTGAAGAGATTCAGCGGTATGTTTAATTTCGAGTTATAGCCTTTTATACCATTCTCCTGCAGTCATTAGCACCTCAAGTGACTAGCGAATATTTTATGTGTTAATGCATTTTTTATCCTGCAGACCCACTTTGTCGTGCCCACTGCCTTTAAGGTCACAATTTAGAGAAAATTACCAGGAAACAATTAGTGAAGCGAGGTTTCTCAATCATGCTTGTAGTGGGTCTAGACAAATTGCAACTTCCAAAGAGCTCAATTTACAGTGAATGGCCATAATTGTGATCCTCCTCTGCCGCTGCACATGTACACACTACACTACGTCGCAGGTTGAGTAATAGATCACGAATTGAGCCATTTTTACTACTCTTCATTACCTTTGCAGCATTCCGATATTTTTCGTCTACCTGACCGTGGTCTAACTTGCCCACAAGTGCCCATTGAGTGTGTGAGTTGTCTTTCTTAGTTGTCGACAGGTTTGCCTACTTTCCTTTCCCATGGCTGTTCTGTCGTGTTGCAGACCAGATATATTAAGCCACGAGTCAGGATTAGGTGACCATAGAAGGCCTTTCCATCACTAAAATTTCCAGGAATGCGCTCAGAGGGGTGTTGCCGCACTCCTGACTCGAGATTGCGCGCCGTCAAGGTTTCTGGCCTACAACTTATAGCGATGGGTTTGTTACATCAGCTGGTCCCGCCCACCGCGGGATGTGGTGCGTGGCTGGCCTAACGTGTGAGATCAGCTAGGTTGATTGCCGTATCAACCGATGGAACGGCTGGCATATCCGGAAAACTCGTTTGGACGTGGCTCTCCCCCGAGCAAGCCTCCTTCACTGCTAGAAGGGAAGGGGTTTCGATTTCGGTCTTGTCGACGGTTTCTTTGCGTTTTTTCTTCACTGTCGTTCCACCTCCCATCTCTACACTCAATTTCAGGCGCCATAATGCCCAAACACGAGCCTGACTTTTGCCTTTAAGGCATACTTCGTATAAATGTATATGTTCATTTTTTTGCAACCTGAAGTTAACTCGCATTCCGAAGGGATGAAGAGCAGAAACTCTGAAATTTGACGTAAAATGTGTTTGCCAAGTCTGCAATTACGACATGCTTGAACGCGTGAAACAAAGTTTATGTCATTTAACTCTATAGCAGGTAATCGAATGCCATTTTAGTTGGTCGTTAGCGATGGAATGCCTGTCAGAAGCGCATCGACGACCACGTTTCGTCGGTGCCTCACCCACATTGGTCGACCGAGTGCAACAGCTACGAAACTGCTACATGCAGTCCATGGACTGTCTCTATCCAGTGCCGAATATAGGCAATTGTACATGTGCGGAGCACAAGTGTAAAAAAGTAGAAAGTTTTGATAGAGAATAAACGCACAACTGGTAGCTGTGCTTTGAACCAGGGTTAGCCATGACGCTGGTAAAAATTCGAAGCATATCCTCCACCCACTCCCTCCTGGAAAGCTCCATATGACCTCCTCCACCTCCATCACCTCCTTCACCAAACTGTTTAGCACTTCTACCCAGAGTATTACGAATGTGAAGAAATCATGTATTGACACAATGGGAATTCAGTCTAGTCGATTTGCGTTATGTTTGCTCCGCTTTGAAGCATTTTTTAATTATTTGTTCGATAAATTGGATAAATAAAGCGTTGTTGCTGATTGCTGCCATTTTCAGGCATAATGACAAAAAAAACTGTTTGAGATACGATTGACGATATTCATCTTCAGGCTATCTGGCTTGGGGGGGGGGGATAGTGATGCAAGCCTGAGACGCAACAACGATGTCTCCGTCCCTCTGATCCCTATACTTGACAATCTCGACTGAAAATTATTACTTCTTGCAAATCGCCTACTGCTCAAGACCATCCGAAATTCCCAAGCAGGAAGTCATATTTGGGAAGTTGAATGGGTCATGTTGGCAAGGGGGAATTTTACGGTGAAAGGGGGTAGGAGGTGAATTTTTGACAGCGTTCATGAAAAGTGTCTGGAATGGGCATATTGTGTAGAATTTAAAGTTTAAGTTGGAAGAGTTTCCATGGCGGAATGGAATGTGCCACCTTACCTTACCAGGATCGGATACTACAGAAGCTGTCGTGATGGCCATGATAGTGCTGATGATGATCTTGGGTAGTATTAGAAGGGCCCTTTCAAATAGTGTTGGGGGATCGTGTGACAGAATCCCCGGGAGTTTTCTCTTTAGGAGGTTTCGTCATACGAGAAAAGGGTTGGAAATTTTTCGAATACCAGTCACACGCGACAGTTGGCCTTGGTAGAGCCTATTCCTGGTAGTCCACATCACATTTACCTCCATTGTACTGGCCCATAAATGTTTATTAATTCATTCGCATAATCTATTTATAATTAATTGAACTAAATCTATACCTACTGTCACCTTTCGTACGTTGCTCTACTCTTCGAGATTGGGCGTGTTACTATTGCCGGTCCAGTCTTACACAATGCCCTCATCTCAAGGGTACCGACGAGGCCCGTCGTAGCGCGAACTTGGCAGGGAGCGAAGAATAAGCACGAGTCGCAGCGCCTGTTGTGCAATGTGGGACGTGTTGAATGCGCATCTATTTAACTTGACGCGAAATCACTACAGTACGCGCTGCGACTCGTCCGCTGACCTGTCTGCGTCTCTGCCTTCTCGCCGCGCGACGGATCTCCCGTCGGACACCCCAATCGATAATCATTCATTGAAAGATGAATCGCGTTTATCATTAGGTTAGCATTGGTTAGGTGTCAACATATAGAACAGGAACTAAATACTACATCGTCATTAAGTTCGAAAATCGAGTTGATCTAAAAGTTGCTTCACGAAGCGGTGCTGAATCCATCAAGACGTTCAGACGTAAGCTCACAATTGCCCACAATTCGACGTGACCACCAGTTTCGATGTGCGACCTTTTTGGGCCCCGGCACCTGAAAGCAGTCTCTGATTCTTCGGTCAAGCATCGGGAAAGGCATTATTCAGGAGGGGCCCGCAAATAGTGGTCCCTTCTGAACGATTTATTTAGGCCATGATCTCCTCAAACTTGCCTTCTAGTATGCCATAGCTTTCCATTTTCTCCAGAACGTCGAAGCCTTCAACGAGTTCACCAAAAGCGACATGGAAGTTATCCATCCTTAACTATTACACTTTACAATCATTAATATTTAACGAATCACGGATCAGTAATTTACATGCACAGTTATTTTTATCAGTGGCGATGACATCTGGAAGTAACTGTGGCCAAACAAACAAACACACAAACAAGTAACGATTAAAATGAATGCGGTTATGATACGTTATCACAGGAGTGCTGAGTTATGAGCAGAATACCTTGACCCATGCGAGATTCAAATGCACCCCCTTTCCGGGCAATTCTTACCGATTACACCAGTGTGGTATCTGAAAGGGTGGAAGTGGGTGCAGCTGAGAGGCGGGGCGGTCTCGATGACGTCATCGGGTACCATTGGTGGAGGCGCGTTCGGAGGTGATCCCGACTACACCGCTCAGTGACCTTCCACCAATGACGTCATCAAAACCGCTCCTCAGCCACCGCACTCATTACCATCGCAATCGACCGCAAGGCGAGAGCTCTTGTAGGTATTAAAATTTGCAGATATCACAATAGGGCGGAAGTGGTGTAGTGGCAAGTGGCACGCTTACCACGCGAGCGGTCCGGGGATCAAATCCTGGGTCGTGAGTCGCCCGGGCCAACCAAGCCTTCCATCCCTCCGGGGTCGGTTAATTGGTACCAGACTTGTCTGGGAGGATAAAAACACTGACTTGTACATCGGCTGGCCCCCGCAAGTCATTGTATAGGCCACATCGCATTCAAACGCCACTACGAATGTACAAATGGAAGTAGAATGCGTGCCGCATCCCAAAAAGGGATTGATCAATCTTTTTATCCCACAATACCATCGAGATGACGGAGTTCCTTGTTTGCTATAACCTTTTGCTCCTGGTTAGTTGATACCCGCAACCAAGATTAGCAGTGAGCTCATTCGGCGAGCAAAGTCCTTTCGTTCTTTTTTGAAATTTTTGTTGCATTTTATTTTTTAACGGTTTTTAAATCGGGTTTCTTGAAGCGGACAGAGCCAGCAGAGGAAAAAATCAGGAAAAAAAACACAATCGCCACAGCTGAGCCTTACCACGGAGTATCAGTGAAAGTGACGAAAAATCGACAAGAGTTCGTGTTTGGCCAGCCGAAATTGTCCATAGAAAGGATGCCCCTGGAAGAGTGTGATAAGCTGAAGCTGTACTTTGAAGTTGTAATAAAACTAACCTTTTATTGTGGTTGATAGTATGGTTCTCATCATCAAAGTATTTCGTATATCGAGGTCTGTGACGGCCTTTACGCGTCTTAGTTTCTGAGTATCTCGAAGTTCGCCGGACTAAATATATATTGTACAATCGAGGACAGATAGGGGTAGCAGAAAATTCCTGAAGCCTGAACAGAAACTTCACCAGGGTGACCAAAAATTTGCTGATACTCTTCGCAGATCCCTTTCCCTTCTCCAAAGCATTAAGTTATCAGGTATTTCGAGAAACTTTAATGTTACCCCCCCCCCAGCGACATGAGCCACCCAAGAATGCAAAAGAACTCGCAGGTGAACGCAGTGTGTCAAAAACAGTCGGACTCGGAGGTGGGTCATGAGACAAGACTTTGAAGAAACCGTAGAGGGGACCACTCAGCAGACGTGATTTGGATACAGTATCGATTTAGTGGTTAGATTCCACTTATTTTTAATTGGTATCCGGTTTTAGTAGAAGCTATGGTCAAGAACCTTGGCTAAAATGCGCCTCTGCCGCGCAAAGCTGCTATGATGAGCGTGCCGCTCCCGACAAGTAAGATACCCCCATAACTAGCAGTCAGCTACGTCTGCAATGCACTTTAAAACACCATACCACACGGCATAATCAGTATCATCAGGAACACGCTGACAGTGATTTTTTGAGGTGTTCGCTGGCTGATTTACTGATCCTTCAAATAGCAGTGGCTAAAGAAGCGTCGAAAACATCACTGTCGCAGAATAGTGATATTATTGAAAATTTTGCGCCGTAAGGTATGGTACTGAGTCTGCACTGCAGACATACTAGGCTGTCGGATACAAAGGGTACATACATGTAAAGTTTGAATTCAACAATCGGCGTTCAGAAGCGGGAAAGCACACGAGGTTCTGGATGATTTCATTGAAATCGTGCTATCCACAAAGTTTTTGCAGTGCTTCTATCAAATAGGCTTGTTTTAGTCTTTGGAATTTAACGAGTAATAAAATAACTAAGGCCTTTGACACTCACACAAGCACAAAATCCGGGTACGATTCGGTACCAGTGACATCCTTTGTAACCGTATCCTTTCTCTCCGGGTGCACAATCGTCGAAAGTTCTCACTTGTTTTCGGGCAAACTTTTCGTGTTTAACTGAAACAAGCCGGCCTAGAAAGCGGATCCACAAAAAAGAAGTTCATGACACTAGTGGTTATTGAGACTATAATTAAAATATCGGCAGGAAAACTCAAACTTTGAAAATCAATAACACCGGACCGAAGGTCAAAAATTATACCCGAGACAAAGAGGAACATGAGTGCAGACAAGAAGGGATAAGTGTGCAGGAGTAATTGAAATGGAAACCAGGCGCTATCCCACCATACGGGGCATTGTGGTGGCAGTGCATGAGAGAATAGCGCAAACATCTGCTTTTTGTTAGAATTGGCCCCAGGCTTCAGGCAGGAGATTAGCGACCCCAGGCTGCATGAGCGGTTTTCATTTGCCTTGAAGTTTCTGCCCCTTCCCAGGCTTTGTCTTGAAGGATGCCCGTATATTGCGATGCGAGCTTCAACATTCGTTAGCCCACGCTTCGATATGGCCCTTGTCTAATGTGCACGTGTACTGGTAGTTCAAGTACGCTACTTCGCGGGCATGATGTCGAGTTGAAAAGAGCGTCGAGGGTTTCACGTGGGCGCTTATTTCAGTTCGGCCAATAAAATTTAAAATTTGTTAAATTTCTAAATATTAAATTTTACATTATAGCAATCCCAGCTTTCAGCTAGAGCTACTTTGAATTATGTAGCTCTAGGTGGAATGCAAAGAATAAACGGTTCACGCTTACCTCAAATACTAGGCGTCCGATTGGTTCACCGTCTGCTGTGATATCCATGAAGACTCGTGTGGGCTTCGCAACCATCACAGCGAGTGTATCGCAAGATCCAAGGCTTGAAGCGAGAACGATGTTAGTAGAAGACAAAACCAGGGAACTGTTTGAAAAATTGCCAGTGCCAGACAATGGAGAAGTCCGCAACGAGTGATGACCTTGTAGAGCGACTTATATTAGCTGCCATTTGATAGAGATCTTATACGTACCAGACACAGATGACCCCAATCAAAACAAAGCGATCTCCACGAGAATACACAGGGGGGGGGGCATTCAAGTGAGTAAGCCGCTCACAGTACCTATGTAGGACTATTTCTTAGGAAGTGAAAGCCATTCTGGAAGAGCATGTTAGCAACTTTATTCTCGCTGGGGTTTCTCCCCTCTCATGGACTTGGTCGTTTTCGTGTCTGCTAAATTTACCGGCGGTTTCTGAATCCCTGCCTTTGAAAGACCTACACCCCTTCTACAGGAATCAGCGCCGGTACTGTGTGTTTAGGGATACAGTATAGAATAATATTTTCACGCTATTGATTAGTACGAACTGACACGTCATTCACATCGGGATCGTAATGTTTTCGTTGTTTCGTTTTTACTGCCTCTCAAGAACAACGAGAAACATGAAAAACATCATGTGTTTCCGTTTGCCGGTGAGCTGTTCGTATTTGAGCAGCTTTGCATTGAGCCGAATAAAAGCGTCGTTGGCCCAAGGGAATCATGTCAGATAGCGCTCTAGACAATGCAGTTCCTCATCGCCTCTCTCGTCCTCGTATCAAATCTGCTTACTGTTCATGGCGAGCCGGTTAGTTAGAACTGCGAATTTTTAGTACCTAGAATATTAATTCTATTTTTTGTACTTGAAATACCTTTATCTGATTGTTTATTTGAACCCTAACAACAAGGTGACATTGCGTTACTGTAAAAAAGCGGCATTTAGAGCCAGGGGAGCAACATGGGATGTCCCGTATGTAGTCCTATTAGGAAGGCGTAGGGGGTCAAAATGGCGGTGTATCTGCGAAAGGCGTCTCGTAATTTTAGGATTAATTGAAAATTTTTTCTTCCTGGCAGCAGTTGGTACTTCATCACCCCTCCTCTTCATCCTCTTCCTCTTCGCTCGACGGGTTTTTTTGAAATGTCAGGTAAAGTTTCTGCTAGAACGGGAGATTGTGGGATTGAGATTACGTGGCACAGGAAAGCGGCCATTTTACCCGAACTTCCTCGGCATGGCGCTCCCCATCCAGGGTTTCTGACAAAGGCGACATCCCTTATTTAACGCCTGTAGAGATCGTTTACTCATTTTTCTCTACTTCAGTTTTTACTTGTATTTTTTATTCTAAAAATACTGTACAAAATCCGGCGTTATGGCAAGATACGGGGACATGTGGTGGCAATGCATTTCAAACCGCGTAAAACATCTCTTTTCTATCAAAAATGGGACTAAGCCTTATGGGGAGAAGAAGAGCCTCCAGTTTGCGTTGGCAAGTTGTTTTATTTCCCCTATGCTCCTGCCTTCTTCAGGGCTTAGGATGCCCCGTATCCTGCGATAGCGCCCAAATTACTTCATAGCAACCTCTATTGCCCAGTCCAATCAAACATCTTCAAATGTTTAGATGCGCCTCCGAAGACAAACCAGTGTTGTGAATCCTCCCTCTGTCGGTGAAAATACCGCGCTCCAAGTGTCACAGGTAGGACATATTTGGAACGGAGACGGGTAGAGTGGTATACCCCTGAATGTCAACTATCTATGGCTCTGACTAGAGCACATCTTGAATAAAGGATTGTTCCCTTTCAGGTGAATGGAAGAAATTCACAATGGCTAGCACCAGTCAGTGCAGGTCCACTTGACTTCCAGAATCTCATGGTAGGGTTTCTGATCAATTTAAAATCTGCTTGGTTGTCTCTATGGATATGAAATAACTCGTACCTAGCCATTAGTCAAAGTCTGTGTTCAGGGGAAGCGATCGATAGATATCATTTCCATCACAAACGCATTTTAAAGCCAAACTTTTTTGCGGCTAAAAATAAAATGGCTAGATTATAAAAAAGAGGCTTTATAGGCGGCTTCGTCGGTGGAGTAGAATCCAATTCGATTGCTATATTTTTCCTCAGGGTATGGTCCAATAGTAGCTTTAGCTAACTGGTGGTCGGAGAAGCGGGAGAGATGATCCACTCTTCGGGAGATTGGTTGTGAAGCTCCGCCCATCCAAGATAATGAATTTCAGGAGATGTTCAACTCATTTACACGAATGTTATTGGCTCCATTCAGCTCCATTGTTAGTTCTTTTGTGTGAATGATGAGACGCCAGCTTCAAAATAGTAGACAGCTTAATTAGAAGTACTGTTGCAGTACTGTAGCAAAGCAGAACTGCGTGTGGAATTCGACTGCGTAGTAATGTAAAAGAGGGAATTGGGGCCGGATATTCTTCAGGGTAACGGCATCGGCAACGGCAACGGCGGAAATCCTTCCAATGGGCAACTTCCCGCACTACCTAATCTTTTTGCTATGCCAAATGACCTTTATGGTGAGTAGACATCGCTTCGATGCCTTCATCGGGTCATATTTTAACAGGTGTTGATCACAGTTTTCGGCGCTTTGCATTCTGTTTCCCGCTGTCGTTCTTGACGTAATTGCAGAATTAGCGACGCGGTACGAGAAAATTTTGAGAGCACTAAAAAGAGCACATCGATTTTTGGAAAGGCTATGGTCACCTGAAAAACTGGTCCGCATTCGCGACAAGCCTATATAGACCTGAAAATGTTAAGTATAGATTTCATCCCGGACGGGATCTTAACCACCCTCGCGTCCTCTTCCCCACCCAGCCACCGACTACTCCGCCCCCCCAGGCACTCTCCGTATCCAGCCGCACCAGATCACTTACGACCGCGCAGCTTTGTAAGTTTATTCCTGAGTTGAAGAAGGCAAGCTCAATAGGGAATTCCTCTCTAAAACTGCGTGGATCATGTGCACGATGATGAAGGAATTCCTGGTGCCTCAGGTGCGCAATTAACGTATTTGAGAGAAACGACCACACTGCTGAAGCAGCCCTCAAAGACAGTGATACGGTAAGCTTATGGAGGAGTTTAGAGGGACGGAGAGGTGGTGGTGTTTACAAACAGCATTTTAACACTTTGACGACAGCGCGGGACACATACGTCCCGCACTTCACACGGAAGAGACTTGTTTTTCCTAAATTGTGCCTCCATTTTCATGCTTCAAGACTGGCCCTTCCTACTGTTGGATACGAAAAATAGTTCTCTCGTTACCACTAATGAAATTATTGGTAATGTAGTAACTGTTAATGCAAATTTGTGTAAAGTAAGGTGGGTAGGTTCGCGCACAAGGGCGTGTCGTCAACGTGTTAAGAGGGGAATAGACGGAAT